GTGTTGGAGGGGAGGGAGGGAGTGGGGGTGCATAAGCGTGGGCGCGGGCAGGCATGTGTGTGTATGTATGTGTTTTTGTGTGCGCGCACGCATGTGTGCGCAGGTGCGTCCAGGTGTGTGCGCATGTGCATGTGTTACAGCCAAGTGAGCGCTTGCGTGCAGGGCGGGGATGGTTCATGTGTGCACGTGAGAATGTCCCTGCTCCCGTCTACCATTCTTGCACATGAGACTAAGCAAGCGTGCGTCTTGGCAATGGTTGTAAAACCTCGCAGTACCTGTGTCCCCCACCTGTTTGTCGTTTTACAGTACCCTGCGCCCTCCAGTTTGTCACCTTTGAAACGTCGCATTGCTCGTCAGCACGGTCGCCCGTCCGCTCGCTGAATTGATTGCTGACCTGCGCGCCTCCCAACCGCAGGCGGCCGTGCCCCAGGCGCAGCTGCGGCAGCTGAGGGAGGACCTCAACGTTGCGAAGGCAGAGATGGCCGCGGCGCAGGTGCGGGCGCGCTGCAGCAATCGTGGCGTTTGACCGTGTATTTGACCAAGGGGCCCATGCACCTAACGACCATGTCACAGCGAAGCGCTGGGGTCCGCCGGTCGGCGCCTTGTGCGCGGTGGATGGGGCCAGCACCACACATTGGTGCTGGCCCCACCTGCGTCGGAAGCGGGCGCCTCGCCTAGCTCCTTGCCCCCGCAAACCAGCACCTCCCCCTGCACGTCGGACGCTACCGAGCACACCATCTTGAAACCGCACGACCAACGACCGCCTCTGTACAACGCCACCCGTACATTCTCCGCCTGGGGCTGCTGCAATGGACAGGACGTGCTGGTGGCGGCGCGCGAGACCGAGGCCGACCACCAGAGGGGGCTCACACAGGACGAGGGCGCCCACAAGCGGCTGGGTGAGGGCCCCCTATGCGTGCGTTTCCGCTTGCGCCAGCGTGGGGCCACCCTGTTGTGCGAGCGGCAGGGCATTTCGGCAGACGGGCTTCCAGGGACAAGGCCGCGGCAGGGCTTGATTTATTGATAGGGGCGGTCCAGGTCTGAGGCCAGGGTGTGGCGCACACATGCTTGCTCAGCCGCAGCCTGCTTCATGCCTCGTCACCCCCGCTCCTTCCTCCACTCACTGCCGACCGTTGACCCCTGATCTGCATCACCCATGATCTCCAATGCTTATGCCCCCCCCACAGACACACACATACACACGCACAAATACAAACACAGACACACACCTCTCAAAACGCATGCATCCGCACACGCCCAACCACCCCCTCAGAGCTGTCCCTGGGGGCGGAGTTCCACCGCTGCGCCACGCGCGCCCAGAACCGCAACAAACAGCGCAAGAGGTCGTCCCTAGCGCAGCTGGCCATGCCCCACGACGGGCGCCACATAGAGTTCGGCCGCAAGGCGCGGGAGGCGATACCGCAGGCTGTGCAGGACGAGATACTGTGAGGCTGGCTGAATTATGATGTTTCGCGGATGGGTGTTGGGATGATGATTTCGTTCGTCTGTATTTGAGGGGAACGGATCATGCCCCCCTGGTGGGGGACTATTGCGTCGCAGGGGATCCTGCTTGACGCCGAAATCACGAGCGTTGCAGCCAGCTGCACCCGGCCGCTTCCGCTCCCCGCGCGGACGTAATCACCCACACCAGCACACAGACACACACACGCGCGCACGCGCGTGCGCGCGCACACACACATACACACCCAACACAAATTCACATTCGCACACGTGCATACCTTTATTAACCTGCCCCTTGACTGGCCGCGACCGGCCCCGACCGCCTGGCCCCTGCCCGGCAGGCGCCTGAGCTGGATGGACGGCGAGCTCTACAAATTCGCGGGCGCCCTGCTCTCACACAAGCGCCTGGTCCTCCTGCAGGCCGGCCTGCTCAAGAAGCTGCCGGACGTGACAGTAAACACCAGCAAACACCCGCTGCCGGGCCAGGCCGCGGCGGCGGGGGCGGGGCAACCCGCGGCCGCGGCGGCTGGCGGGGGACAGCAGGGGCTCGGGGTTGCCGGGCAACAGCCAGGTGCGGCCAGCCGGTAAGGGGGTCGGGCGGCTGGGCGGGGCTGCGTGCGTGCATGAGCCCAAGGGGGGGGGTTGAGGCGGGGGTAGGGAGGGGCCGCGCTGAGTGGGTGTGCCTGGACGGAGGGGGCCGTGCAGGTATTTCACGCCTGTGGCGTTCCCAGCTTGCTGCGCTGCCGGAGGGACTGATCAGCTGGCATGAGGACAGTCCGCGTGGTTGCGGCTCGGCCAGACAGCTTCTGGTTGCGACTTGCTAATGCAGCTCCACGCCGCACCTTTTGCCTCGCAGATGACGAGCTGTGAGTTGGATCGCAGTCTGCAGACGGCCGCATCGGCGGGGG